AGCCAACATTTACCTCTCCCTGCTGTGCACCACAACCCTTCTGTCACCCCCTGCTCTGCAAGGCTGTGCTCACACTACCCCTCCGTTGGGCTATTTCTGTTTTGTGGCTTAGATTCTGAGCACAGAAAGCATTCACTCAGTCTTACTCAAACTCTTCTCTTGCCCCGAGCTAACCAAGACACACATGCGCTCATTTGTAAAGCCTGACATCTAAGGCTGCTTAAAGGGCAGAACAGAAGATGGTGCTGCYGAGCCAACATTGTTAACAAGAAAACTTCCTGGAGTTGCTGATTTTTGACAGCTCCAGTTCCAAAATAACCTTTGTTTAAACTAAAGAGTTGTCAAGGAGATAAGTTTCAGACTCACAAGAGCTACAGAGAAACATCCCACAGCCCATTCCCTCCCTGAGCAATGTGGTGAAATATTGATGGACCAGACTCCCTAATTATATCTCCTACTGAAGGGCTAGCTTGAAATCCGCAGCTTTCCTGCTTTGTATGCAGCACCGTTGGGATGAGGCACTGGGATCTCTTGCAGAGCTACACGGGCAATTGGTTTGGGATGTATGTAGCTAATGAACAGGCATCAGCTAGACAGCTTTGTGGGAGCTAATGAAATGTTCAGTACAAAACGCRTCACCTCCAGGTATCATCTGTGCCTCCCTCCCGGCGTTTAATCCTCTTCTCTGTTGCTGCCTGTGCAGTTTCTCTCTGTTTACTGAAGCCTTCCCTGTGTAAAACAGCAGGAGCAGCAGAAGGAACAAAAGAACTTTTCATCATCAAACTGGGCAAAATGATGTCAAGCTCTTAGGTTGAGTTTTTCTTATTGTGACTGAAGCTACCCAAGATACAAGCATGCAAAAGTAAATAATTTYCAGCCACAGCACAGGCAGCAACATATCATTTGTATGGATAATTTTGAAAACTGAAAGGAGTAACAGGAAACCTTATTCCTTTTGAAATCCAGGCCTAGTACCTTCAGGGTTCACCTTTTCCCCAACTGGATTTCACACAACAAGACCCAAAACTCCTCAGACCATCAGCATGAAGGTTGCTTACAATATTCGGCAGTACTGGGAACCAAACCAAACTACTGGGAAGTTCAGTGGTTTGGTGCAAAAACATCCTAAATTCAGATGCCTCTTCAAAATCCGATTTATTTAGCAACAGAAAATGAAGTGGATGTAAAAAGCTGTTTCACAGAATTTCTTCTTCACACAGCACCTGTAAATGCAGCTGAGCAGGCAGCATAAAACATTGCTGAGGAGTGAGATCACACTCCTCTGTCCCTTTTGGTAACTCTGTGCTTGACAAAGCCCATGTGGATTTTGCAGCTAGAAGTTTGAATTCGTGCTGCATCTCAGCATATCACTGTGGTGACAAATGAGAAATGAATAGTCTGAGGTCCCTACTGTTAATTCCTCTAGAAAAGGACACCATGTGCACATACACCTGCAGCAGCACAGATGATGACTGCCATYAGCAGTCAGGACTCTTAGTACTCTTGCCCTTAATACAATTTACCAGGTTATCTTGGCAGAGCCAGTGTATTTATTATTCTCACTTCATCTCTAAAAGAAGAAAAATATTTATATATTTTACAGTCCACACTAGAGAGTAATTAGCTAATGCTTGTTGAGTGCTCTGAAGACAAAGCAATAGATGCATTTTAGGGGCTATGTCCTGTGTCTCTGAAATCAATAAATACTTGGCAAAGAAACTATTGAATGGACATGAGCCACAGGGAACCACTTGTGACYGTGAATACCTGCTTTAGCTGTTCGAGTTCCAACCCATAACAGAGAGCACATATGTTCATACACATAGCCCAGCACTCCTGTGCAAATGTGCCTGCTGCTTGTTACAGCAGGATGGACTGGTCTTCTGCTACACAGATTTAAAATTCATAATCAAGAGGAATTCTCCCAGATGAGAGGCCCTGAAGCTCTCTGAATTTGCTAAGGATGGCCAGATCTCTCTAGGAAGGCAAGTGGGCTTTTCATTCTCCCTGCCTCAAGCAGTTTCTGCTTTTCAGGTAGAGAACCGAGTAGGTAGCAACACTGAGACAGCACATGGGAAAAGTTTTAATAGCTGAAACAGAAGGCTGAGGAAGAAGAACTGAACATCCTAGGCTCTTGGTGAACAGGTAGAAGAATCAGCCATTCATGGCTCAAGCTAAAACCTGGCCATCATAAAAAAAGGTGGCTGCAGGCTGTTATTTGAGACAGTCTGCAGCTGGCTGATGTGTTAATTTATCAGCCAGTACATGCTTCATTGGCAATCTGAACAGCAGTCCTTCATTAAGCAGATTTGTCAGCTGAGTTTCCCCTTCAGCCATGGATGAAGTTGCTTCAGGCCAAGGCTAAAGGAGCCAAGACCATCTGCTTTGCAGCTCCATTGCAAGGAGGTTTAAAGTCCATTCCTTGCAATAACAGCTTCCTTTGGATGTACTGGTTAGTGGCCTCAAGTTAAGACTGGATAAATTTACCATCTGGTATGGCCAAGGACACGCTTGATTAACTACCTCAAGGAAATGTAATATTTGCCCTTTTTAATATCACAAGATAAAGACAAGGTTTAGTTGCTTGAAAACAGGTTGCAAATCTGATTGAAAGACCCTAATCCTGCTGCTTTCCTTCCCCTGACACACACAGCCTGTTACAGCACCAGGAATCAGCAAGAGGGCCCTTATCAGTCATTACCTAGTCCTTCAGGTTGTCCCACGCTGAATTTCAGCAGASACACACATGCAATGAAGTTGGACAAAACTCCTTGCAGAGTGGGGATGGCATAACTGAGTCAAATAGACTCAGTAAAAAAAARCTTTTGACTGAGAAGCAACTAGAAGATCGCACTGCTGTCTGTGTTGTAGCTCTGCAGCTTTGAAAGCTCATGGAGTTGCTGCACATATTTAAAACAATTGTTTTTCAGGAATGGCCTTCTGCACTGATGAAGAATTATGGAGCAAGAATTGGTTCTTGCCATGTCTTTTCCCAAACAGAATATCAAGTTCAAGGCTGGAAAAAAAATTTTGCTTTGTTGATGACTATTCAAAAGAAATCCACAGTTCTSAGTTTAGAAATGCAGAGTTTAAAAACTGTAAAGTCCTCAACACCTTCCTTCAAGGAATGCTTATTTGAGTCTATATCCTACATCCAGTAATCACAAGAGTCTGTCACTCAGTAGGGGATTACACATTTAAATAGCAGCTTGTTGCCTCAGTTTCCCAATCTGTGTAATTTACYCTGAGTCCCCATAACTATCATAACTGGGAAACTCACCAGTTTTCATTTTTTATTCTCATTGCAATACAAATACAGAAGGTAGGGGAGCAGGTGCATTTGGATCAAACTGAGAAACTAGGCTTGGGGACTTGCCCTTGTACCTCTCATCCAAAACCACTTAGTTGGAGCCTACATTTGTTAAATGAGTCCATCAGTTTTCAGTTACTTCCCAAAAGACCTTCAAGGACATAGAAAAGGCTGCAAATGTTCCAAAAACATTACTGCTTTCAGATGCCACATCTTCCTCAAGCTCCTGCATTGTTCTCTCCACTTTCTGTGCTGCAAATCACTAGGAATTACCAATCAGGTTCATTGTTGACTTAGCCTGTGATCTGAACAAAAAATGAATCTGTAAAATGATGTAAATGTAAAATACGTTAACTGAAGGTGCTTGGGGCTCAATACAGGTTATAGTAAATGTTCATAAAGGATGCTGAAACCCTTAGATTAAGAGATATACCAGAAGAGAATGATGAGGCTATAAAATCCTTCTCCACAAATAACTCATATTTATATAGTGCCTTTCAACCTAGCAGATCCCAAAGCTTTCTCTATTTTTTTTTTAGTGCATAACATCCTGATGTACAGCCCTGTGATATACTGAGCTCGCTTCACCTACCAGTTCAAGGCAGCCTCCTCTGAAGTGAAATGTGGCAGCTGTTTAATAGCCTCGAGTAGCAGTAACTTTAATAATAGCAAAGCACTTATATGGTTTTACAAACTTCAAAGAGTTAATTCTCTCTGCCTCTTCAGGAGAGAGACAAGTTTTATTATTCCCATTTCACAAAGGCAATATAACAAGAGTGGACAAGAGTGGAGAAAAATCTGCACTCCCACAGATTTATAAAGTGAAATTTCGTGTGTGAGCTTAAAGTGCCTTTAATTCCATATAAAGAAAACAGATCAACATGGCTTATTTAAAAAGTTCTCTACTAAAAATAATGATGTGGAGAGCGCTCTGATCTGGATTCTAACACCTGCCACTTCTGCTGAAAAAAATTACCTTCTCAAGTACATGTTGACATAGAAACATCATGGTCCACAAACGCTTCTGTGTCGTGAAACAAATTGGGTGCTCAGAATATACTGCCAAGACTCACACAATCTCAGTCTTAAGAGGACCCAAGAGTTACTAAAAGCCTCTTGAAATATTGCAGGAGAGAAAGCTGCAGCAACACCAGTCTCCAAAGGAACCTGGCATTGTTCCTCCCTCAYGGGTCACCCTACAAGGCTTTCTAGCCTTTCTCTGTTGCAACAAAGCTTTTGACAAGGAAGGGAATTTCATTCTGTGATCCRCAAAGGTTCCACAAAACATTTCATGAACTTGAAGATCCTTCTTTATGTGTCTCTCTCTACATAAATTATCTACCTATAAATTATTTGGATTTAAGCCTTCTTTTCTGAGAACTGGAGTCTTGTCCCAGGGTTACATCAATGTTCACACATTGTTTCTTTATAGCACCATTATAGAGATTCAAASAAGGGCTCACAAGCACAGCCATCCTTGAGGTCCCAAACACACTTTTACATCCTAGCACAGAACTCACCAGCTTCTTTTCTTCCTGATGTTTTTCACAGGGAATTTGCTTCACTGCTACTTCCACCATTATTCACAGCCTGCACATGAGARCAGCCTCTTCTACACCCCTTTGCCTACTAGCACCTTCACAAACTACTCCAGATGGCATAAACACAGCATAACATCATTGCAACCTACCTCCAGTCCGAGAAGCTTTCTGACGGGGGCTGCAAACATTTTTCTTACCCAGACTATCCAGTGAGCTCAGGTCAGCCAGCAAGCWAGGGTTCCCACTTTCAACATCTCACATGGTCCCACATGGCATTAAGGAGAAGCTCCCCTGAGACTCAATCCTTATAAGGAGCTTCCCGACACTCCCTAACAACTCTCAGCTGCCTGAAAATAGACCACCAGAAGCAAATCAGCTTGTTATCCCTCCCTTCTCCCCACTAGCTCTGTATGACCATTTGCGTCCAACAGAACCAATTCTCTGCAGCTGCCTTGAGTCATTCCTACAGCCTGAATGATCTGAAGCCCAGGGAGGGTGTAAACGGGTGCCTGGGTCCTGCAGGAGCTGGGGGAGAACTATAGAGAGATGTCACTAACTGACAGAAGTGGAATATCGGGAATTCTCCAGCAAAGTGTTTTCCATCATGGTAGCACAAGTGCTGTGTAAATTACTTCCTACTCATTACAGAAACAATCAGAATGTAACTTTGCCAACCAGGAATTGGTCTTTCCCTCTGAAAAGCCCCTGTAGAAGCTTAGCTTTGGGCACCCACATATAAAACAATTCTGATATTGTCAAGCCCAAAAGCAACAGCAAGATCATTTCCCAGAGCAGTGGCATTGAGCTCACAGCAGTGTTTTTAACCTTCTCTCATTTTAGAATAATTAGTTTAACTTYGTGGCATTTTGCTACCACACGAGTCAACCGCAGCAGCAAGTGGCGAGATCAAGGCCCCAGGGATGAATATCCATGACATGTTTGATGCATAATGGAACAACGCAGATGGCCGTCGAGGCGATCGGGTGACTTTGCTTCCTTGGCAACCTCCATGTGAGGAACCTGCGGCACGGTCAGCTCTGCACGGTGTCGCAGGCAGCTCCTGGGCACATCCAGCTAACGCTACGGTCTGTGAGAAGGATCTTAGCTCTGCCGACGGCTTTGGTGGTGATTCGGGCATTGAGGGCCCCTTCCTGGTGCTGCTTGTTCCTTCTTTCCTTTTTGCTCTGCGAGGCCCAGTCTCTACAGGCTGTGCTGGAGTTAACTTTTGACCCTGAGTAATCAGTGTAATGAAGTGTGTCCTCATGACTTCCTACTTTGGTTCATTTCTCAGGATGCTGGGGAGATTTACAAGCTTAAGGCAGCCTACAAGACCTTATTTGCAGCTCTCAAGTTTGAGCCTGGATCTAAAGAACCGTATCTTTGGGCTCTCAGACATGTTTAGCAAGTAAAGAAAATGCTTAAATATCTCCACCTCCTCTCAATTCCCTGCCTGGGGGATTGCTGTTCATCACAGATAGGGATGTAAGGACAGGCCTGCCTGTCTCTCCTCCACTGATGGCCCAGGGGAATCCCTGGATCCATGTCAGGGCAGGTGAGTCACTGTCCTTCTCACAGGGAAAGGAATGACGCAGCYTTTGTTGACTGAAACAAAAGGACAAAGTGGAGCCTAGATCATCCCGCTCACAATTTATGGGGTGAGGAAATGGAGCAGACACAGTGGCCCCAATGTTCAACTGATATAAGTCAGAACAACTGCTCTGTACTATGCTGAATTAGACCACCTCAGAATCAGACTTTTTTCAATAAATCCTGTGTCTCTTCCTTTGATTTTTTTTTTTTCATTTCCCTTTTTAAATTTGAAAAGAAAAAAAGAAATCCATGAAATCTACAGGGAACTTCTCTGGAAAGAAAGAAACAAACAAACAAACAAACCAGAAAAACACACCAGATTTGACCCCGACTTTGCAAATGGGAATACGATATAGCGAGAGTTGAACCCAGAGCGTCAACTAGCATCTTCAGTTCTACTRTTGAACTACAGCTAGTCATTTGGATTTTTATTATCAGCCTGTCATAATGGAGAAGAAAATTAGGTGAATCCATTTTTGGTTTAGTTGGGATTCTTGTCAACTGGGAGGTGACTTCTGAGGTGTGTAGAGAATGACTGGAGGCACAGGATGTACAGCTAATTATAGCTTTTGTTTGGGATGCTATTTCTGTATGACCTGCTCCAAAGATATTAAAAGAGATTGTGTCTCTCTCCCTTGGTATTTATACATGTTTTCCATCAATGTAACTCTACTGACTTCAAAGCAGTGATTCTGCACTTGAACATATTTCTGTGAGGAGAGAATCAGAATCACTGTTTATAGATGTTTTGAGCCTGCCCAAGTACGATCAATAACGGGTCCTGTATAGACAGCTGAAAATCAAGATACACCAGGAAACTCATGAGTAAGATTTGCGGAAAAATAAGTTTTGCCAGAGTTGACAGATATCTGTTTATAGTTCTTACTCTGCAAATTGCCCTGTGAAAGCAGATCCTCTTCACCACAGGGATTAACTGACTCTGCCCAGGTACACACAAAGAGAAGAGCTTGCAGAATCAAGAGCAATATCAGTAAGAAAAATAAATGGCTGCATGAAACATTGATAAGCATAGGAGAAAATGGATACAAGACAATCTTTCCTCTAGAGAAGAAAGATACCAAAACAACAGCTAGTAGGCAAAGCCAGATTAAATTTAACAATAAGGTTTAAATAAAAAAGCAATATGCACGTTTAATGAAAGAAAGTATTTGATTCCCCATCTCATGAGGTCTTCAGCTCAGCACAGTCTGGAAGCAGTGCTTTAGCGAAACATATTAGCTGGCTCAGTTGAGAATTGAAAGGAGCAGATTTGATGCTCTCGTGCTTCTTTCTGATCTTAAAAATCTGTGAGCATGTTTGGATTTGGTAAATCATTTAATATCATGTCATAAAATGTACCTCTGTGGATGATCTGAAAGCAATAGTCCATGGTCTGAACTGCAGCTGAGTGGCTGCAAACGAGAAGGAATACTAAACAGACAGGTATTGTGTTATAGAATTATGTTTATTAGGGCATCACAGAAATGGGGTCTTTGGTCCTTTTTGACATGTTTATTGACGACTCTACAGAAGGATTGAACAAAAGGATGACAGGCATTCACCAACATGACGTGAAGTTGAAAGGGAACACAAACAGCAGGGAAWCCAGAAAGATAATGCAAAGGAATCTGCATAGGCTAGAATCTCAAAATGAAAATAAGTCAGTGCAATGAATTTCAGAGCCAGGCAGAAGTCTGGTATCTCCAGTGCCTTTAGGCTTCAAAGGCGATGCTCATTAAGATCATACTGTGGGGGGAAGATCCAAGGAAGGTGCAGTGTATGGAGACATGCTTCTTCTGAAGGGATAAGTGTTACAGCAATCCAGAGAGAAAACAATAAATACTATAGCACTCCTCGCAGGCAAGAATAAACATGCCTGCCTGAGAATCTTCTATAATCAAACTTTATATCATTTCCATTCTCTGAGCTACTGTTATGCCTGCAAACTGCACAAGGCTTTGTCTCCTTAATGTATTAATTTCCATCCATACGCCCAGGCAGGATGTCTATTAGCAACCTTAGACAACTTGATTGACTTGGGTAGATTATTCAGGAAAGCAGAGCTCTGTCTCTTTTATTTTTCCTGAAATCCACACTGGTGCTTCTGATGGTGAATGAAAATTTAAAAGTGAAAATATCTTTTTTAAAGCATTTAGAACTCAATATAAACCTAAGATTCTATTTAAGGAGGGATTCTAGAGAGTAGCTTCCTTCCCTATACACACAGGACTCAGAATCTGCTGTAGTCTGCAGCTCTCTTAATCCACTGATCCCAAAGTCGAGGTCCTCTTGGCTGGAGGAGAAGGGCTCCCAAGCAGCTGGTGGGCTCCCAGGGGAGTCCTAGAATACAGTTAACTGCAGATATATTATCTACAAGCCACCCAATAATAGAAATCTCAGCCACAGTCTACAGCATCTCTATGGTGCATGTGTGACATTTTCCTTTGTTCTTTGCTCTTTTAACCAGCATGGAGAGAAAGTATGAGTTGTTTCTTTTTTAASTGATGAGATACCCAAAGCTGGATACCCGCAGCAGGTGTCTTGCCAATATTTGAATTAAATAGATGATAACAAGCAACAGTGAATTTCCAGCAATTTAAGAAARAATCCTTCCTCTCTCGATTGCTCATCTTTTATCTTTTGATCTGKCCATGTCATAATCCTGCTAGCTCTCCACTCATCCTTACAGACCCTCCGGCAAACCAAAGGCTGGGGGAGATCTCTGAAATAAAAGCAGACAAATCCTTCCATGTAATTTACAGCAAAAACAACAAGATATTCCACTARCAAGTCACAGAGTTCAAGCTTTTTGGAAAGAAACAAACCAAAGGAAGGACACCGTGATTTTCCTCTACAAGTGAACCTTGCAGGACTTCCCTCTTCTGGTACCTGCCTTTCAATGAAACAGTATTAGGTCTGGTCCAACCAGGGATCTTGAAATCTGGCTGCAGATGTTAATAGGTGTTTTCCTACCTTCCCATTTTTGCATCTGAGCACCGATTCCTAAGACTGTTGCAAGACATCATGAGGGTTTAATCTAACAGCTCTAGGTGACCCTGTGTGTGCAGAGGCTTGGACTAGATGATCTCTAAAGATCCCTTCCAACCTTAAGGATTTTATGATTTTTCTAGATGCTCAGTGTGGGAGATGCTGCACCGAGAGCTGATCTCAGCAATGTGAGCACTGTTGTTCCAGGGGAATGCTGGCATTGCCCGGGAAGGCCAGTGCTTGGTGGCAATTACATGCGTTGCTCTATTAAACCTAAATTAAAGATTGTTCTAATGGGGGAAATTTCAGTAAGGCTGGGAGGCGCTTTGTCTCATATCTGCTTAATTGAGTGTTAGGATTCTGATGAGGGAAGAGGAGGACGTAACACTTATGTGGAAATGAAATATATCCGTATCAAGGTCAGCTGAATTCCCAAATATTTGTTCTGGCCAGCAAGACTAAYACCCTTACTTTTATAAAAATGCTAAAGGTCCTTAACCATGCATATACATCCACAAAACCACTCTTAGGACGTGGGTAAGTGGGGACTGTATCCTACAGCAAACATATAGAGATAGAAATACTCATARAAATACTACATTGATTGATCTGATTCATCTCCTGGGATGACAAAGTAAGAGTTATGGCTGAGAATCACAGTAGTTCAATGGCATCAAGAGAACCTAATAAAGAGTGAGTTAAAATCTTTTTTTTTCTGCATTTCCAGGTCACTTGTAATTCTGGAAGGAGTCCTGCTTCTTGGCAGTCACTGTAACACCATTGATAAACCCCCAAAGCTATCGGAGGCTGCAAGATTATCAGCTGCTGCCACAATGAGTTCATTTTATGCAGCTGAGATGAAGAAAAACAGTTTAAGAAAAACACTTTAAGGATACAATCTGCACGTTATCTAAAAAAAATACTTGAAGTATTTGTCTTTTTCATTCAGATTGCACTTAGGCAGGTCAAGCTGAACTATCTATATTTTTTTTCACCAGTAATCATTCAAAAAAGGATTAGTCCAGACAATTATAATGTCCTCTTTTCTCTGACATACCAACTCCAAGGCTCTCTGATCATACCTGACCTGGTTATTCCTTGGTTTGTGCCTTTGCTAGTAGCATGGGTTTTCAGTTTGGTCTACCAGAACTGTGCTCATGAAGTTCTTTACATGATGCACTTTATTTCCTGCCATACTGSAGCTCTGGTCTTTGTTCCTACGGTGTATTACTTTTAGAAAAAAATCCTGAGAAGACAGTTTGCCTCATTTTGCATACATTTCATTCGTCGCACAGAAACACAAATTCATTCCTGCAGATCCAGCTTGCCTAACTCCAACGATTTAGCCAGCTTTGAATTCTTTGCTTATTCCTTCTCTGCGCAATTTCTTGCAAATTCTCCTCTATTCTGACTGCTAAAAATACATCTGGGTGCTGCCTGGAGGCCATCAGGGAGCACAAAGGAAAGGGCAGCCTGAGCTTCACATGCATTGCTAAGCAATGCAAAAAGAGCCTTTCCCACAAATGGGGATGCTCTGGTAATAGGCATCCGTAGAAATGTGCCATTCCCAGAAGCAATTGCATAGAGAAACACTGCGACTCGTTCTGTTTAGCCAGTGCCAGGCTCTTCCACGGGAAGCTCAATTGCTAGAGATAGCTCCAATTTATAGCGATACTAAACAGGCGTAAACTGGAAGAACGGCTCAGCAGGGTGAAAAAGCTAAACCAGCTCCCACCCCTACAATGAGCAAAGCCCCACGGTTCATGGTGGGATCAAGAAACAAAACGAAGTTCTCATCAGAAAGGAAACTAGGCGCTCTCTGCATTTGTCACTGACTGCGAGTTTCCCCTTTGCTTCTCAAAGTACTTTTACCAAAGTACTTAAGAGTGAAGGTCTTCACATCACCCACTGCTAAAGGGTTAAATTTAGGGGGGAATTTAACCAGGATTTAGTTTCCTTATTATTATTCAAATAGAACCTTCTGTGTTMATAACACAGAAAACATGATTTACTATCCTAACATCCCTAAATTAATTCAACCCCCCCAAATAATTTATCTGAATGGCTTTTATTACAGTCCATATTACAGATGGACTAGTAAACCCTCCAGCTCTGATTTATTACTGCTGTGTTCTAAGCAAACCACATGATGTCATTGAGGAAGAGTTGTGAAATCCCACATTCCACCCCAGGAACCAGGGATGATTCCCAAATTAGGCAAATGGCATGCAAAATATCAGTAAAGCGTCCATGAGGACAAAAAMMAAMMRRAAAAAAATAAAATAATAATTTTAAAAAGCCCTGAGGCCATGTAATACAAATGATGCTTTCTTCACCTCAATGTTTACTTGAAAAGCCATCTGTATCTTGAGAATATGTATCTAGAATTGCAAAGTCAATTTAAAATCCAGGAACAGTATTTACAGATGATCTATATGGCAACAATCTGCAAATATTTCTTTTGAATATTACCATCTGAAAGAGATTTTGGATCCCTTGCTTCCTACTTTGAATGCAATTGTAAGGGTGAGACAATAAAATAGCATCCCAGCATCTTCCTCTCTCTCATTAACAGCCTATTTATTTGCAACAGAGTTAATATAAAGAGCAAGTATCATGTTATTCTGCAAGCTGAGTCCTTGGATGGCTATAGGATATTGCTAGGTTAAAGAACTGGAAGATCTTGCTGTAGCAAGATTCCATCTTTGTTGAAACTAGGGCCCTTTCCCTTCCATTACATTTCATGATTCCTTTCCAAGATGCTATTTCTTGAAGCTGGTTTAGTTTTTCCCTTTTGGAGTAAACTTCCCCTTTTCCAGCTCCAAAGAAACATAAATTGCCTGAGAAGTTAAGATAGCAGGGGCAGCTGGATCAGTTTATGTTAACTCTAAAGTTAGCTGAGATGCTGCTCCTCAGGAGGTAGTGCTACCCCCTGGGGCTTCGTGCCTTCTTCAAGCAAGTCAGGACATTTTCCACTTGCTCAGATCAGAAGGGGAAGAGACTACACTAAACACCTTGTGCAGATCATAAAAAAAAATAGACCAGTGCTCAAATATTATTTTCCTGTGAATCAGTCGCTTGAGGTTTCTATTGAACAGATGGGAACAAAGCCCAGTCTGTCCTAATTAAGGAACAAAATCTAATTAAATTGTAATTGAACAGTTCCTCAGCACTGCGCACGCTGCCTTGCAGAATGGAGAGTCCAGGACCTCCAGGCTCCAAACACAACATGTAAAGAAGGCCACAGAAAGACATAATCCTTTTATTTTGCTTTGATGGGGGGATCTCAGTAGGATCAGAAAGAAGRCAGAAAAATCCTGAGCTTTATAATTCCTAGACTGTTTGGAGTATGCTTGACACCATACATCAATATCACTATCAGTATCAAGAAAAGCCACACAGTGCCACCAGACTGAGCATCCACCACTGCCTGGTTTATGCTAGTYGAGAAACTGATGTTTCAGAGTGGGCATTTTGGAGGAACTGAGGCTGATACACGCACAGCAAGCACTGTTGCAAGCTGGCAGRGGGTGTATTTCAGGAATAAGTCTGGTTATATTAAAAACAAAGTGATTTGTGTTGCAAAGCTTGCCCAGCCCCTTGCCAGTTGGGTGCCAGAGCATCAATAGCAGGAGAAGACGCAGGACAATCACCCCTCCAAAACACGGTCCATTTCCAATGCCTGTTTTTCCTGCTCGAGAAGGATTGTGTGCTGCCCATCCTTCCTGGATCACCCTCCGCAAAGCTGATCCTCAGCTCTGAACAAGCACGAGCAAAATGTACACTCTAAATCTTAACAGTTCTGTAAGGGGCTGGGGATGGTCCTCACGCTGGAAGCCCCGACAAAATTCACCGTCTCCTATGAAGAAATATGCATGGCAAGAGGCCCCACAGCGCAAGGCAAAGAGAAATCTCATAGAGGCAACGGAGCAGCTGGCAAAYGTCTCCCAACAGGCAGGACCAACGTCAGGGTTGGGGTTTACAAATAATAGATCATGGATCTCACCCCAGTGCTTAGGAAAGAGTCCACATCACCCATTCGACCTCCTGCCCAGCTGTTAGGGGTTTTGGATTTCTTTTTTTATCTTTTTTGTTTGTTTGTTTTTCCCTAAACAGAAATAAACCAGGGCCCCATCTTGGAAAGGGTGCAGGAGTAAGTAATGAAAGAAAGCTGGAACAATGACTGATTCAGACAGCTTAGGGGGCCTTCTGCACATTGTACATATCAAAATTGCCTCATCCCAGAGAACTTCCTGCAAAAAACACAGGAAGCCTTTCTTGCAGAGTGGGTGGCATTGGATGCAGCTTCCCGATTGGCTGGGAATGCCTAGGGACCAGGCGTTATTCCACTCCTGCCTTTCCTGTAGGACACTGCCAGCAGGCAGACTTCTCCGGTATCTCTTCCAAAGTTTAGTGACACATTCACATAAATAATACCCTGCAGCATAGGCACAGCTGAACCTACCAGGAAGGAAATTAGCTCTTTCTCTCTCCCCGCTTCTCTGTTTTSCTTTCATTTCAGTTTCATTTCAACATTCCTTCATCCCTGGACATAAGACCTATCTTGCAGTGGTGACACTCGTGTTAAATACAAACCCTAGAGAGCAAAACTAATGAGTTGTATCTTGCAGATGGCCTAGCATGCGCTCCCCAGTCACCCTCTTCATTYCCTCTGGCTTAGTTAATGGTTCTGTTCACATGCTCAGCACACAGAGGCTGATTGCAGAATCAGGACCACGGTTCTCATGAATCCTAAGGACCACTCTTATCTTAGAGAGGTCAAATACTATTAAATCAATTAACCTGAAGCCTAAGTGAGACTAACATATTTTTGTTGCTCAAGGCAGAAAAACATAGTCCGTTCTAGAAATTTGTTCCGTTTTACAGATGCAAAATGTTGAATCAGCTGCACACGGAGGTTTATGCCATGAGAATGCCCATTTGAACAGATCACAGTTTGAACTCTGTGATCACTTCACTTTGTATTTGGACAGATGTTGTATGGTGTAATTAAAAATTGTTGTTATTGGCAAGCAAATGGTCATGGAATAAAGAGTAGATGAGTTCTTAAGGAACCCATTGGGCCATATTCATCCCTAGTGTTACCCCATTGATTTAATGGGCATGCAAAGATAAAATTAGTCAATCTGTTCCTTAGATAGATGTCTCCAGCGGAAAACAGAGCAAAACAAGATAATTGAACCCCTTCCCGCAAACACTCGCGGCATCTATAGGAAGCAGACGGATTTTAAAACAAAATGTTTTTCAAGTTTGCACAAGCTTTTCAGAAGACGCCCTTCCCATTTCAACTCCATCCTCTTCCGCGGCTGCTGGGGGAATGCAGTCAGGCTTCCTCCTGAGCATCCCACCTCGCCACTCCTTGCTGCTTCTCCCTGTGCGAGTTAGGAGAGGATGACATCTGAGACCCTACTTAGACCATCTCCTTTCCATTCTGGAGTCTGAAAGAGATGAAGACTTGGGGACAGCAGTGAGCTAAGGAGATACATAGGAATTACTAGGAAAAAAAATTGTCTTTGTTCGTCCTAAGTGGTGGCAACAAATGAGGAGGGTGGGAGGGGAACATGCTGCGGACTCGGGGGGCTCTGGCTCGGAGCTGGAGGACACATCTCAACACATGATGACCCCACAGARGAGGGGGAGCGGGAGGAAGCCCTGAGCAATGGGGGTAGCTCTGGGGCCGGTGGAGTCACCGAGGGCGGGCAACACAAGCAGACGGGCACAGACTTTGGGGAAGCCCCCAAAAGCAGGGCGCCCAGGAGGGCTGCCCGCGACCCTGCGGGAGAACGAGGCGAAGGCGGCCAAGCCCCGGCGTGCGGCGGCTCCGTGCCGGGTCCGGCCGAGGCGCCGCG